CAAACCAAACCAAACCAAACCAAAGTATTGTTTTTGATAGGTTGGATTGTTTTTTTTTCTTTCTCTTTGGTGCAAATTGGTTCTGCTTCCTCCCTGTTCTTGCCACCTTCTTCCCATTTTTCCCCATTAGTATTGACCAATTAATGATCAGTCAGTCATTTCCTTTCCTTTTTTTCTTGTTTTCTATAAGTTGAAAGAAGCTTTTAAAATTATTTTAGACATTTGTTGCAAGTCTTAAATCATTCTGAGCCTTAGCTTTCCTGGCTTAATTTTTGCAGGTTCAGGATAGTTGCTGATATTCTGCCTTAGTTGGGTGCCTCTCTTTCCACATTTTGGACTTGTCCTTTTTGTCCCAGTGAACCCCCTAGGCTGCATCAGAAGAGGGGTAGCATCACCAAGATCAAGTGTTAATGCCACTTTAGCCGTGGTGATGCAGTTGCCTCAATGCAGCATTGCTGGCTGATTCTGCCACTGCCAGGAGTTCAATCCTGACCAGCTCAGGGTCAACTCAGCCTTCCATCTTTCTGAGGTGGGTAAAAGGAGAAGACCCAGACTGTTGGGGGCAAGATGCTGATTCTGTAAACAGCTTAGAGTTGTAAAGTCGTATATGAGTCTAAGGCTATTGCTATTTACGTTGCACTGGTAAGACTACGCTTGGAGCACAGTCTAGTTTTGATCACATGATACAAAAAAGATGCTGAGGCTCTAGAAAATGTGCAAAGAGCAACGAAGGTGATAAGGGCTCTGGAGACTAAACCATAGGATGAACAGTTGAGGGAAGCAGGTATGTCTAGTCTGTGCCATCCATATGTTCCCTAGGCCATCCCTCTTCTAAACGTGCTGTCAGCGTTCCAAGTAACACACACACACACACACCCCAACAAAATCAAAACTCCAAGTTTCTGTAGTGGCAACAATATCGTATCTGCCCTCTTTTTCTTGAATTTCTAATTCACCCTGTTTATTCCTCATCCTCTGTGCATTGGTTTATAGACATTTGAGTCCA